TATGCTAAAAATGCTTAGATATTCTTTAAAAGTTCTTTCCTCTGGCATTCCAGAGTAGTTGTCTTTTCAGTCCTGATTTTTAGTTACAATAATTGCATTAATCCTGTATGAAATGGGAGTATTGATTTGGTTTGTTCTGATCTGTTTTCCTTGCTTCTGTTGGAAACAATTCCTCAGCTGAGATCTGTGTATATTTAAAAATGTTCACTGGTTAAAAGAAATTGAAACACATGGAAGTCAGTAGAGGAATATCTGTTGATTTATTTAGTTTATGCTGGCCAGTCATTTAAACAGAAGTGTTAAAAGAATGCATAGTGATTTTTTTTTTACATGTGTTAATTTACGTTATCTGGTTCTGTTTAGATGTAGGCTACACGTGAAAGTACATTTCATGTAATTCTGATGAAAAATAAGAGATATAATTGCTACACAGTGTTTATAGAGCTGAGTTTCTGCTACCTGGGATTTCAGACATACCAGGTTACAGAGGGAGTGACAGGCACAACAGCTAAACTTTTTCCCAAGTGCTGTCACTGAGATCAGAAAGAAAAAAAAAGTGATTTTTTTCTTTTTTATGGCAAGTCACCTCTGCAGTGAAATCAGAATTTGTTGTCTTCTGAGTGCTTCTATGCAATTATATTTATGTACCATCAGTGTCCCTAAGTGGGTGTGGTACATGCGCTCCCATGTTCATGTACTTAATGCTCTTTTACAGTTTAATCTGAAAAAGATGTTACACACACTCCATAAGTTATCCATCCTCAAGACGTAGTTATTTCTGCATGTGATAGATAGGTTAAAAAAAATAACCCGCTACAGGGGTGCCTTTACTTTTCCCCACTCAATCACATTTTTAATACACATAGAGAACCTGACCTGTTGAGGCATTGATACTCTCTTGAAGACTTTTGTTCATTAACTGCTGAAATGAATACACTGGTCTATAGGTACGTCTTTGGGTATGAAAGGATGTGAGCACTGTCAAGTTCAGAAGTAACTGAATAGTAAGTTACTCTATACAGTGTCTCAATAGTAAGTAACTCAATACAGTTTCTCAATAAGAATAATTTTAGAAACTATTTTTGAACATGATGATTGAAAAGATCCATTTGTCCATTGATTCAAGAAGGAGACTTGTTAAGTCCTGGGATCCAAGCTGTAATGTGCTGAAGAAGTGGGCTGTGGAAAGGCTGCAGTTTTCCAGTTGGTAGCCATGAGCTTGCCATGGGTAGACCTAAAATACAGCTATGGTCAACTAGTTTTGCAGCACAGGGAACTGCTAGTTATCCTAGTATTTCCTACTTGCTGGTTGGTCAGATAAGTCCTTCAAGTTTATTCACCTTCATTATTTTTAAAGGGGTTTATTATTATTAGCTCTGTCTAGAAAGAGGTATAGAAAAATGAGGGGTTTCATCATCCATTTATTTCTGGCATGCACGTATGTGCACACACAGAACTAACATGTCATATGGTACCAGAGGAAATAACATGTGTTATCAAGGTTATTAAATGTTGTCTTTTGCATTTTTTGTTAGATTTGTTAATGATAAAATTGTACAACCTGCATCGTAAAGTGAGAATTGGCATCAAACAATGCTTGGAATAGGTTTAAATTAAGTGCAAATTGTTGAAGAGATGTGGGAACAGAGGGCAAATCAGTATCTATCTGCATGCTCTTGAAGCATCCCATGCCTCACATTTTGACTGAAACACTGGCTTTCTTGAAATTAAAGGAAATTTCATCATTAAATTCAAAAGACCACATAATTTCCAATGTAAATGTGTGTGACATCCTTTTAGAGTCTGTGTAGTCATAGTGCAAAATTTAAGACACATAATATATTTAAAGTTAGTGGATATGCGTTTACTGAACTTTCGTGCAGACAACAGGAAAATGTGCTAGAGGAAACGAATTCTTATGTACAAGAAAGTTGCTGGAGAAGAATTACAGTTACCCAACATGCACTGAGGAAAGGAGAGGCTCAGATTGCGTGTGGTCACTAGAAAGACTACATCTGTTTTTATGTGGGATTCTTAACTTGGTGCTTCCTCAAATTACACTATGTGTATTGTTTGCTGTAATAAATCTTCTCTACAGTTTCCTTTTTACACTCTATTTACATTCACTTCTGATTTACATTTACACTGAGGTGTTAATGTAAACTTTTAAATAGCAGGTTGCCAGGAGTGAAGCTATGGCATTGCTAGTCATGGTGAGATATGTGTGCAGAACTATGCCCTCCAGAAGGGAGTATATTTCAATTTAATGTCTTCTTTTGCCAAAGGTTTTGGGTGGTAGTGAAGCTAGTGAGATTCAAGGGGAAAGTCAAATGCTTTGCAGGTGCTGAAGACAATTCAAGAGATAATTTACAATAATTTAAGACATAAATTAATTCAGAAAGAACTGGAAAGCATCTTGGTCTCCCAGTATGTTAGAAAAACAAAGGCAATTGAAAAAGAAAAAAAAAAGAAAAGCCACAGAATGTTCTTCAGTCCAAGACAATCATGCCAAAAATAGCAAGAATTAGTTGTGTTAGCTGAGGAGGAGACACTTCTTTCAGTAGACAGCAATATGCAAAACTGTAATGTATTTTTTTAGCAGGAATAGAAGCACATTACAGGATCCTGTCACCTGGCTGATAACTCTCTGGGGAATTCCCTGGAGGGGTTGTTCCGTCCCACACAGATAGCAGCAGGAGTGTTGCCATTGGTGTTGGTGAGTGAAGGATCAGGACTTGCTGAACTGCTCAGTTGAGTACTGTTACTGGCTTCAGTGGCATTTCTCACCGATTAATCACTGCTCGTTGGTAGAGCTGGAATAAAGCTTGGCAGTTCCTGGAGTCTGTTCCTGTGGTTAGGCTGACGGATCACACTGTCCCTCTGGAGGTCCCAGTAGACAATAACAAGCAGACAATAATTTAACCAGAAATAGAAAACAGGGGAAGTAGTAACAATAAATTCATTAACACAGTAGTTATTAAAGTGAAGAGAATCCCGCACATGAAATAGTTACGGTTTAAAATTATCCTCTTAAAAAGAATAAAGTAGGAGTACCAGGCAATGAAGAAAATGAGAATAACTACATCTTCTTGGGGGAATTAGCCTACTTTTTGGCCTTGGTTGTAAAGATGACCTTGCTTACGTGGAATGTCATAGGCAGAGCCAAGGTGGAATATGAAAGAAGGATATACTGCCCTGTGGCGGGGTACCCGCTGTAAAAGATGAAGCTTAAAGACCTTGGCTTGATTTGATGCTAACGCGACAGAGATTGTCTGCTGTGCATCTCATGCAGCAGTCAGGTGACTCAGAGGATAAAAATCACTCCAAATATGGAATAATAATAATTCCATACAGAATCTGTATGACACAAGTTTATGGTTGATAATTTTTTTGTGTGCTGCTAGGGCACCTCTCAGGGGCTGAGCTGAGTCAGCTTCTCCATCAGTGAGGTGGGGTCTGTCCCACTTCTGCAGCTCCTCTGACTGACTGCAGGGTGGATGCAGTACAGAAGTAATTTCCAGCAGTTTGCATCTCTCTTTCCAGTCCCAAGGGTTTTTACCAATTTTTTACTCAGATACTGTACCAATGAATTAGATGGAGATGCCAAGACCTTTTGAAAAAGAAGCATAAAATAAATGATACCAATGCTGGCAAAGTGTGTGACAAACAAAACACTTGTATTCTGGAAAACGTCTGGAAAATCAACAGAAAATTAGAAGGGACTGCAGAAGGATTGACGTTCAAAGTACAACATACTTCAACCTATGTGACAGAAAGGTCCATCAGAGTTTTAAAGCTGTATTCCTCTTATATTTGTTGCATTTCTCTTCTGAGCTGCTGGTTACACTGCAATATGTACCTGAATAGCTGACAGATAACTCGGATATGGCTACAACAGCAGCAGTGGAGCTGCGGTCTATGACAGGTTTCATCTCTGATGGTATCTACATAAATCTGAAAAAAAACTTTCTCTTTTATATCTACTTGCTGTAACTGTCATTTTTCAATGGCAAGGTGAACAGTGCAGTCAGAGTAGTGGCACACTTTGTTGCTCTTCATTCAATTGGAGAGGTAAGTGTTTAATAGCAGTAGTTTGAAAATGGGTCATTACAGTGTGAAATTTGCTCAGAGTTTTAGGAACTGTGGTTATTTAAATAATATTTGCATAGTATCAATACTCACCTAAGACAAAGCTAGGAGGGAGAACTGTTTCTAATTTGTGTAATGTCAGTAGCCATCCAACTGCTTGGCACCACCTATCTCATTAAGCCCTAATAGAGGGTGTTGAATTGTCTCAACACATTTACTACATCATTCAAAAATGCTGCATAGATCCATCCAAGAGTGTGTGTAAGGACCCTAGCTATACTGAAAACAGCCAAGGTGGGGTTGAAGAGTGGTGTCACTGTCATGATTGCATATTTAGAAAGTATCTCTCAATTCATAAAAATAAAAAAGCAGGTTTAAGCTAGTCGACATATGTCCTCTTCATTGTTTAAAAAATTTTAATTTGCTCTTGGCACTGCATGGAATAGTTATTAATAAGTGCATAAGAATGCTGTACATCCAGAAAATTGAATGTACGTATAAACGTAAGAACATTATCACTCAAAACTCCGGCGAAGGTTTTTTTTTAACTTAAGATGGTCATCCTTTGTCATTGGCAAAATCAAAGGCCGGGTTTAAACATTTCTTGTGGTGAAGATGGCACAGGTATTGAAAACAAGCTCTAAACTGTCAGAGATGGCTATTTGTCCTTTTTATATGTAACACGTTCAATATGATTCTAAATAATAATACAGGAGATACATGAAGGTTAGGAACATTAAGTAATTACCATGTATGTGGAAAAAAAATTGCTCTTGTTGGCTGAGGCTTGTAAAAATGTTTCAAAAACTTTTGGGATTACAAGTTTTGAGGAGCTTAAACTGATGGATTCCTGACACAGACAGAAGCAGTTTCTGTCTGATGCTCTTCAGAATTTGTTGAAGGACTGGAGAATGGACATCAGCACAGCAGTGAAATTAAAGTGGCAGAATACAACTTTAAAAATATTAAAAAGTGAAGGTGAAAAGAAGCAGGTGCCTGCCTTAAGCCACAGCATTGCTTGGGAGCCACATTGCCACAACAAGCCAGGGGGATCTTTCCAGACTGAATGTACAACCATCCTTGCCATGAAAGGGAAAAGACATGCAGACAAAGGATGCTGCAATCTGGCCAAAACTTTATATCCCAGGAACAACTGAGATTTGTTGCCCAGAGATGTTGTGGATGCCCCATCCCTGGATGTCTTCAAGGCCAGGTTGGATGTGGCTTTGAGCAACCTGGTCTAGTGCAAGGTGTCCCTGCCCACGGCAGGGGGGTTGGAACTAGATGATCTTTAAGGTCCCTGCCAACCCTAACCATTCTGTGATTCTGTGTGATGACTGCCACTTGGGTCCTGTATATGGGGATTCGTCAAGAATGGGACTCAAAAGCTTCTATACCAGCCTTTGACCAGAACCACATGCAACAGTTTTGAAGCTGATTATTTCATTCAGTTATCTCTTTCTTTCACTTTTTCTTAGGTGCTGTATTAATTAACCTTAATCTTAATTAACCATGCTTCCATTATGGCCAGAGGAAAGGGAGACCAGGAAATACAAAGGCACAGGACAAGAGTAAAGAATTATTAGTTGACTGAAAATGAAAAACTATTGAGGCTTCCCAAGAAATTAGAAAATGCATAGTGTAAGCTAAGGCTGCCACTCCAGGTTCTCTCAGAATTCCCCAACCTGGTTGCTTCCCTGCTGAAGGCAACTCTGCTTTTGGACTATCAAGGCAGGCCATTCCCATCCCAGTTGGAATTTCTCAAGTGTTTTACATTCAGATATTCATGGGAGAAAGAACTGGAAAACAGGTCTTCCCTTCTTCCTTACAAGTGTAAAGTAAGGGAAGGCCCCTGATAACAGTTTGTCCCTGGGCCTGCAAATGGTCTTTGTGCTTCGTAGATGCAGACAGCATGTGCTGTGAAAAAAACTTCGTCAGAAGGACTGTAACACAATACTTCTTAAGCTGGTGGTTAGGCTGGCCTCCGAGACACGGTGAGATCGTAGAGTCATAGGTGCAGGACCTTGCACTTGGCCTTGTTGAACTCCATGAGGTTGGCAGTGTCCCACCTCTCCAGCCTGTCCAGGTCCCTCTGGATGGCATCCCTTCCCTCCAGCGTGTCGACCGCGCCACACAGCTTGGTGTCGTCGGCAACCTTGCTGAGGGTGCACTCAATGCCGTCATCCATGTCACCGACAAAGATGTTAAACAGCACAGGTCCCAACACCGACCCCTGAGGAACACTGCTTGTCACTGATCTCCACTCAGACATCAAGATGGGCTCAATACTTCTCTAACTGAGGTGACAGTGGAATCTGCGTTTCCTAAATCCTGCTTAAATTAGTAGATCATAATCCATGTCTGCTTCTCAGGGTCTGTGGGTGACACAAGGAAAGAAGGAATTGTGTTTCAACAAACTAAATACCTTGTTCGATGTGGCCAAAATCTGGGCTTTTTCAGACATAGAACTGCAGCTGTAAGGGAATTTGAGACCTACCCTGTCCCCCCCTTTCTTGGGCAAAATCAAATACTTTAACACTGTCTCTGATGGTTTTATCCGGCCTGTTCTTAACGTGCTCAGAGCAGATCTCTAGATAGGTAAAGAGCGTTACTCTTGAAAAATGGTCACTTAAAGGCAGTTACTCTCTTTGTGGATCTACCTCCTGAGTTCAAATGAAAATACTGAAGCAGATTTCGTGCAGCCTTTATGGTGAGGAGAGCAGAAGCACCTCAAGTACTTGAGAGTGTTTCTGAAGCCACAGCTCCTCTGCACTCCATGCAAGTCCTCCCAGGAGATCAGGTACTGCCTGGGGACTGGCATAGCCAGCCTGCCTTTGCCTGCGCTGGCGATGTCCTCTCTCGGTTCTGTACGTGGTGGTGAGCAGTTGGAAGCTCTCACTCTTCCCGCCAGAGGCAGATTTGACCTGGCTAGAACCCAGAAAGTAATCTGTTGTGTTCACTGCAGTTTTGGACTTGTCCTCATCTGATATTGACGATCGCATAAGTAGTTGTGCACCCCTAATTTGCAAATGACTTGCAATCCAAGTTGTGGGAACAAATAATTCCATGTGTAATTTAGAAAATGTGGCCTGTGGAGTCTATTTGCAGTAACCATATTAGTTAAATTACCAGTGTGATTAACTGTAAGAATGAGTGTGCTTTCATGAATGCCAAAGCAATTATTCCTGGTAATTTATTCCACTCCTTACAATATGGCTGCAAGAATCTGAACTAGTGCTTTTCAAATAATATATTCCATATTTTGTGATGCGGACTTGAGAGAAATTTCTTCTTTCTAGGGCAATTAGATTATACTAATTTGGAGAACATTTTCAGTATTCCTTATTAGGATTTAGTAAATTGTGAGTAAAATGATTTTCAGTGTAGTTGGTCAGCAACATATTTAGCAACAAAGTACACTACTAGACTTGTCTTGTTTCCACATCCTTTCATTTGGTAGGATCAAAAAAAAAAAGTGCATGAGGTGAGTGTATATGTATAAATACTTCATTATTATAAAACCTACCCCCACCCTTACAGTGGAACCAGTTACATCTTTACTTCTGTGTTAGTGGCAGATGCATTCCCAAATTATTCATCTGGCTAGAGATTAGCATCACCTCAGTTGGGTTCATTCAACTGTGAGTTTGTTTTCACAAATGTTTTTGGGAAACGATCTGTCTTTAAAAGAAAAAGAACAACTTTGAAACAGATTGTTGGTTTGTTCCTTTTGGTCTGGGTCCAGTACAGAATGCAGCCACACAAATAGTTGAATCAGCACAACTGAAGAGGTTTTAATTTCTAGGCAGCGATGAGAGAAAACAGTTTGGATTCACTGGCGTGATAAGACCTTCAGTCAGACATTCCACCAGCTAAAGCTTGGAAGTGTATCACCAAAGGCTCTTGCTCTCAGTTGAGCAGCTACTTTACATTTTCATTGCTGCTTCCAACCTTTTTAAGTATTTTAATACTGAATTTATGAAACACAAATTATGGATTATATAATTACTGTGTTTGCTTTTCAGTTGTTTGAGGAATTGTGGGGTTATATTTTATTTATTACATTTTTTCCAGGGACCAATGTATTACTAGGTTTGTGCACAATCAAGTGTAGATATTTCTCATGTGTATTATTGTATATTAGTTTAGCCAAGCTTAATCTGAAATAATATTCATCTCTAAAGCAATGGCTCAGGAGGTGTGTCTGTGAACTGGGGCTTCTTCTGACTTCTGTTCCAAATTGCCATTTTGCTGTTAAATGTTCAGTTCTTATTTCAAGAAGCATTAACATCATGATTAAGAGCCTTACTGCTGAAAGGTCAGATCTTTCTCTTTTGAGACTGTCAGAGGGCTCTGCCTGTTTCTGTTGAAAACTGGAAAATAATCTCCTTTCAGCCCTCCTTAAATTCAGTGTTAGGGTCAAAATAATTACTGTGTACCGCCCACACTTATGCAAAAGTTGGATATACTATGCATGCCTGGCTTTCATGCTGAATCAAAGTTGTATCTTCTCAGCTGTCTGCCTGTCTTCATGTGAACCAGAGCACTTATTTCAGGTAAAATAAATGCAGGAAAGTAAAACTGCATGAAAATAAGATTCAGAGGGATGTGAAGAAGATCTGGTGAAACACGTGTGTCTATGAAGACTTGAATGGCAATTGCACCAGTTCTGCTTTGATTCCTCAGTAAATTGATGTGCAAGAGATGTGTTGATTCTGCTAGAATAAAGGCATACAGGCTTATTATTGTAATTCAGAAAAAAATCTGCCTTACTAATTAATAAAAGTTACTATATACTCCTCCACATATTCAAACTCATACTCATCCCAAAATCTTTGAAAGATGTGATATGAAGAGATTGAAGAATCGTGCAGGATGGAGATGTTCTGTTAAATTTGCATGAGACAATTCGTGTTTGTAACAATGAACCCAGAATGATCACCATTCAACAAGGCTGAACAAAAACGAATGCTTACTAATCAAATGAGCTCTTACAATGGAAGAGTAATATCCAGTAACATATTTTAATGAGAAGAGCATGGGGTTTCAGGAGTTGTATGCCTTTCACATGTAACTATGATACAGTGTACCTTATGTACAAAACTATAGCACTTCTTTTTCAGGCAATTTTGTGGGAATATTTCGTTGATGTAAATAATTGGATTTTAGAACAACTCAAGACCAGTGTTGGAAGTCAACTGCCAGCTTTCATTAGTTTAATGTAAATAATGAAACCAGCAGACACTTGGAACATTACAACCCAATGGAAATTAAATTGTTGACTTCTGCCCTTCATTTTTCCTATGTCATGTTAGCCTTGTAACTTTTTTATTGTTATTTATTGCACCAGATATTAATGGGCATTTTCAGAAGTAGTTTTAACATAGTAGAAAAATTATTTCACTCTTGGCTACTAAATTCAGTTGGGTAGCTGAAGTTCTCCTAGAGCAAAATTATTACTTACTTTATTCTTTTTATACTGCTTAAAATTTATGATCTTAAGGAATGCATAGAAGGCTTGTAATAAGTAATATGATTTGAACACTAATGATACTGCTATAGAAATGTCACACTACTGCTAATTATTGCAGTGTTATTAAAACTTTCTTGGCAAGGGGACAGTGGATTTTCAAGGTGGTTTGGATATCTATTTCTCACTTCACTCTAATTCCCATGTTCTTTACCTGACCTGATATTCCCCCTGACTAGAGGGCCTTGGGTATGCTCCTGGGATACTTCAACCCACACTGCATCCTGTAGGACAGAGGGACACTGAGTGGGGACATTGAAATCAATGCCCCTCTCCTATTCTCTGTCCGAGGGTACAGGTCCTCTTAGTCTAAGGCAGCCCCTGTGCTCACACAAGTCCTTATCCCAGGAAAATCACTCCCCCTTGGTCATGTCCTTTCTCAAATCCCTAGAGCTTCACAGACCCCACAGTTCCAGCAGTTCTTCTGCATCTGGTATGGGGTGAGTGAAAGGGTAGCAGAGGCTACAAACAACTGCAGAAGAAAACAGGTCCCTAGATATCGTAGCATCAGAAGGGTGAGAGAATTGGGCTTGTTCAGCCTGGAGAAGAGAAGGCTCCAGGGAGACCTTATAGCACCTTCCAGTACCTGAAGGGGCCTAGAAGGAAGCTGGGGGGGACTTTTTACAAGGGCCTGTAGTGACAGGACAAGGGGTAATGGGTTTAAATTGAAAGCAGGGAGATTTAGATTGGATATCACAAAGAAGTTCTTCCCGGAGAGGGTGGTGAGGCACTGGAACATCCCAGAGAAGCTATGGATGCCCCATCCCTGGAAGTGTTCAAGGCCAGGCTGGATGAGGCTTTGAGCAACCTGGTCTAGTGGAAGGTGTCCCTGCCCATGGCAGGGGGGTTGGAACTAGATGGTCTTTAAGGGCTCTTCCAACCCAAACAATTCTGTGATTCTATGATATTACTCTACCCTCATGGGTATCATTATTTAAGAATTCTGGTATCATTTGGTGTCATGTACATTTAGAGTTATTTCTCTTTTATGATGTTGTCAGTATATCACACTTCACTGGGCTGAAGTCAGGTGGGTTTTATCCATTGAACAGGTGAAAGAAATTGGAATACAGAATTACAATTGCAGGGCACAGCATTTGAAGTCAAAAATTACATGGAATGACTGTCTTAATGAATGAAAAACCGAGGCTTCATTCTCACTCCTTTTTTTTTTTTTTGGTCAGTTTCAACATATCTTCCCGTTGAAGTCCTGATCAAAATTCCTACAATAAATGCTACTTGAGTATTTATTCCCTTGTCTGGTACCCACATATCTGTCACTGCTGGTTTTACTACTGAAATTAAACTATGCATGAAGGTACAAAAATTGCGGTGGAAATAAAGCTTCATATTTTGCATATATCAATACTTTATTTTTTAGATACTAAGTTAAAGCAATTAGTGAAATGAGAAGAGTGTGAATAGAGAAGCAAGAATGGGGAAGGTTCTTGATTTGTTTACTGACCTCACTGATGGATATCTGTAACTTCATTTATCAGATAATGACCAAATGTTTTTAAATCAAATAATTCATCTGAATTAGACCATTCCTCAGACACTGAAGGTTTTGACATAATGGTTACATTTTAATTGAACTCCTAGGAGGGCTGTATTCATCCAGAGAAAACATATTTCAAACACACTGCTGTGGATAGTGTAAATATGGTTACGTCCATGGGCAGACTGGTGTTTCACCTATGCTGTCAGCCCTTGGAGAGCAGGTGGTGACAGAGCTAGGTCCTGTGAAAGAGTTATATGATGCTGCTTGCCTATTATTTTAAAAAATGGTAATTTTTAAATGAAGGTTTTGGTACAGGTCATGAATTTCTGGCTTTGACGGTGTCTGCCCCACGGGGTGGTGGTGTGCCGCCCACAACAGTGCCCAGGGGGCCGCCCAGCTGCCACAGCGCCGTGTAACGGGGGCTTCTCTTTTGTCTCCTCAGAAGCGGGGGGCAAGAAGCTGCGGAGCACCGTCCAGAGGAGCACTGAGACAGGGCTGGCCGTGGAGATGAGGAACTGGATGACCCGTCAGGCCAGCCGGGAGTCAACAGATGGGAGCATGAACAGCTACAGCTCTGAGGGAAAGTAAGCAGCACTTACTGTGGTTACCTGACATTTTTCCCTGAAACTGGTGGTTTGACAAAAGTGAGGTGAGCGCTGTTAGTCAGAACTCCCTTCGCAGGCTAACGCCACTGATGGACCAAGCCTGTCTTCCCCTGCTACTGAAAGAGTCTTCTGTTGCTGGAGCAGGAAGGCTGAGGGTGATTTCTGCAGTGCTGCAAGAAAGGCATCTGGTTTCTCAGATACACAAAGGACAGTTTCTCTTCTGAAAATTCATCACATACCTCTGTGCTTTGCAGAGCAGAGCATTTCCAGAGCATTTCCATGTGTCATTCACTGGGCATAAGAGTTTATCAAAGATTCTGCTAATTGATCTTGAAGAAATGATGTGGGCAGAAGTTTGAGACTGTCATGTATCGTGACTTTCATAAAAGCCCAAGTTAAAAACTTCTTGAGTGGTATGTCCAAGACATTGCCCAGAAAAAATCTCATTCTGGATAGATTTATTAGTGGTATTCACAGCACTGGATGATACACCTATAGTGGACAATATATCTTACACGTCCAAGTTGATGCACTATATGCACTTGAGATGGACATTTATTTATGGGTCATCATTACAGATCTCATTAGTTCTTGTTGCCTTGTAATGGGTCACAGATAATTTATGGCAAGAATTTGAATTTTAAGTTATTTTGGTCATTTGCCACAAGGGATTTCAGTTACATTATTGAATAGATGTCATTCTCAAAGACATTTTTTCAAAATGTTAATAATGAATGCATATTTTAAAAGATGATTTTAAAAACTGTGACCAGTATTGTCTGATGTAATTTCACTGGATACATTTGAAATTCAGCCATTGAGTTCATGTTGATGGAGAAACATGAGCAATTTTACCTACATGTGACTGAACTACTGGTAAAGGCATGTATTAGTATCTTGTTGAACTGGTCTCATGTGAAAACTACAGTAATTAACAATGGTCTTTAATATATTGGGAAAGAGAGCATGATAGAAAAATATTACTGTGGAAATGAGACTAGTGAGGATTAGTGCTTTCTTCACCTGTTTGTTTATTTGTTGGAGGCCAAATTGCTGTTTGTTGAACACTGTGAAGTTTTGAAAATTAGAGTAATTTTTTTGTAATATTGGCAGTGTAAATAAGTTCTTGTGAGCAGTAATACCAAAACCATAAATGCTAAATGCAAAACATTAGAAAACAAAAAAGCACAAACTCAAATGTATTTATTTTGCTTTTTTTTCTTTTTTTTTTAGTTTGATTTTCCCTGGTGTGAGGTTGGCTGCAGACAGCCAGTTCAGTGATTTTCTGGATGGACTTGGTCCTGCCCAGCTTGTAGGACGACAGACTTTGGCAACACCATCAATGGGTAAGCATTTATGTCCTACAGATACAATATACTGAGTCTGCTAATTAGAACATAGGAACTGCGTAGATTGTAAATCTTTAAATACGTATTTCCCAGCTCAGTTGAAACCAAAACTATAACCTCAAAGTTGAACGTAATTGTGGGTGCTCATTAAGACACTCAAAAATAAAAAGTCACTCTGAAAAATTCAGTCTTTTATCTCTGAATCACTTGGATAGTATGAATGAAAATGGGAATTTAGGTGCACAGGAATTTAGGTGCACGGCATTGTTATTATTGTGCTTACAGGCCTTTGTATGCTCACAAATTATCTTTTCATACTTTGTCTTAAACTAGAGGCATGGTAAAGAGATTTCAAACAGTTTTACGGAACTGCTTTGTACTGATTCCCTTGTTGCCATTTTTTTTAATCTGAAATTTCTTAAGACAAAAAAAAAGAATTTAATTTGAAGCAAAAAGGTCATGGGAGATAGGAGACAAGATGTTATTGCAGGGGAATTAATTGTTTACTAAGGTAAGTTGCAGTGAAGAGGATAAGTATTAAATTATCTGGTAATGTTAAAATCCGGATCATACTTATTGGTGGAACGCAGACAATACAAGTGAACACATATTCATCATAGAAATTCCCAGAACTTTTGATATATTTAGGCATTTCTAAATTACAATGCCAGAATTTTTTTATTGTCTAGGAGATATCCAGGTGGGAATGATGGACAAGAAAGGACAACTGGAAGTAGAAATAATCCGAGCCCGTGGCCTTGTTGTAAAACCAGGTTCAAAGACACTGCCAGGTAAGGAAGAAAAATCTTAGGAAGAAGAAGAGAGTTCTACCACAAAAAAATCCAACAAACCCCCAACTTCTGAGGCTTTACTGTTCAACTTACATAAACACTTAGCAAATTCACATACCAGTTAATTACAGTATTGTACACTGAAATGCATAATGCATTGAAATGGTATACAAAAAGTCAACCCTACTTCAGGAGGAAAAACCAAAATCAGACTGATGTCTGTGCTAGACAGAAAAATATTTTAGTAATAGCAAATGCATCCTTGTCTATGGGGTAAAAAGGAACTGAAGCTGTGATATAGGAATCTTAGGCATGAAGAGAGGATGAAAAAGAGGTGTGGAATAGGTACCTACTTGAAAAGTAGACCAGCATTTGATACTTACTCCTTACTTATAATCTGATGTCCTATAACACTATGTGAAAAGGACAATATAATGATATTTTTAGCAAGCTCTTCTGCCAAAATAGAAATTGTGTCAGAGTCTTTTCTTCACTGATTTTCACCTTGTAGATAATTTTAAATTATTAACAATTTGGAGCATTGATCCAAATCTCACCAAAGTCAATGCAAGTCATTCATTTACCTAACAGGCCTATTTTGCATACTGTAAAGTATAGGAATACTGTATATAGGAATAACTTATCTTTTCAGGTCAAAATCTGTATTGTTTCATGGCAAAAGAGCCACACAAAAAGAAATAAAGAAAAAATTATACCAGGGAGAAAAGTAAAGAACATGGATGCTTTGCATGTGAATAAATGTTACTAGTGCTTGTGGGGATTTGTTCATATAAATTAGATATACAGTAAAAGGCAAATTTTGTCATCTGGTGATAAGACAGTGCAACTGTTATATAAAAAAATCTGGTTTTCTTTACTTATTGTTCTTTGTTTTCTTTCTTCTAAGCACCATATGTAAAGGTGTATCTATTAGAAAATGGAGTCTGCATAGCCAAAAAGAAAACAAAGGTAGCAAGAAAAACGCTGGAACCACTTTATCAGCAACTTCTATCTTTTGAAGAAAGTCCCCAAGGCAAAGTTTTACAGGTAATTCGGATGAATATTTTTCTGAATCTGAAAATGTCACCTGTACAGTTTTCACTGAATGAGTTTCAAATTTCCTTTCATGCTTCATTTGACAGGTTGTGCTATTTCAAATACTTTTTGAACAGCTAAATACTACAGTAGTAACTGTTGACACAGGTAGAACGTGCTGAGCAGAATTTAGTTTTAGATAATTTTGCTTCTACTATATGTATGGGCTCCTTCTATCACTGGGCTTTATTTAGTGTCATGGATAACTGCTCTGTTACTGCCCAGGTCATTTCTGTCACTGCATCATGATTAGTATACAGAACTAAACTATACAAGCAGTCAAATATTTAATTCCTTCCTATAATGAAGTAAGCAGAAGCATTTGATGAATCAGATTGGCGCGCTCGTCATTTTTTCTGAAATTTTTCTGTTTTCTTGTGTTTCCTTTGCTAACAGATAATTGTTTGGGGAGACTATGGACGTATGGATCACAAGTCCTTTATGGGAGTGGCACAGATACTTTTAGATGAACTGGACCTGTCCAACATGGTGATTGGGTGGTTCAAACTCTTCCCTCCTTCTTCCCTAGTAGACCCAACTTTAGCTCCTCTCACTAGAAGAGCTTCCCAATCATCTCTTGAAAGTTCAACAGGACCTTCGTATGCTCGCTCATAGCAGCTGTGAAACTGTTGTCATAGCAACCAGCGTTACAAAAAAATAAAATTACAGGTCGCAAACCCTGGTAACACTGCATGCTTAATGTTGTGTCTTCTGAGCCTGTTTCTAGGGCTGCAACGCGATCCTGTGTTCTCAAGGAAGTTGCACACATTGTGCCCTACAGAAGGCCCTCAGGTGAAGGACTGAAGTCATGAAGAACTGATAGGTTTGGAGTTCAGGGACACTCAGTTTTGGTCCAATCTGAAGCCATGGACTAAACTAAAAGAATCAATCTGTTTCATGCAACAAAAGTCCTTTTCAATGGCATATCTGTTTTGTTGCTCCCGTTTCTTTATTTATCTGCCCTCCCCTCCTAAAGCTTGGTTATGCCACAGAAACGGAATTACCTTCCCATGAAGCCATGTTACAAGTTAGTGGATCAGCAGATATTGGAAGAAAAGAAGAATGTAAGGATGCTGGAAAAGTCAACTGTAATTTGAAACGGTTGCTTGAGATCCGAAAACTCTTCATACTGAAAAGTTTCAAGACTTAAAGTGGTGGGCTTCATACCTCCAGCTATAGATACAGTGAAACCCCAGATGTGGTGGACTATGAAAAATAAAATTCTGTGGATACACTGTATTGTATGAAATTAAAGAAACTTTTTTGCATGGACACAGATTTAGCTGAACACTTAAATTATTTTCTTGGGGCTGCAACTTGCAAAAAAAAAAAAAGAATAAATCAGCCATTTTCAACAATTTATATTATTTTTAAAAATAAATTTCACTAGTGCATGGTTTTAAAGGGAAGAGAATGCAACAGGGTGATACAAAGACACACCATGTTTATCATTCTTTAAACCAGTCATGGTCTGTATTTTTGCAGACGTATATTAAAAAATTAATTTCTAGCAAATATTTAAAATTCTGTTTATGTGACAAGAAATAAGTGTAATATATCAATTTATTTAAATGTAAAAGGTACAAGCCTTGTAAAGTTCAACATAATGTGCAAATTGTACACTTTTACCTCCTCCTTTCTCTATCTCTCCCTTCGGTCTCCCTTCTTACTTTTGCTCTTTTTCCCCTCTACCTCCCAGAATGATCATCATACTCTAAAATGGCTAACTTTTGACTTACTACTCTTTATGCCCCATATTTGGTTCAGGGTTGCAGATTGTTCTGCATTTCTGAATTATTTGAGAAAAATATTGTTTAAGAACTTACTTTTTTTCAAGCATGTTGAAAAGGATTTTGCAACATGGCTTGGGAGTACATAAATGTAATTCAGCATGTATTTGATAAAGAAGATATTTGAACTTTTTGCAATTTATTGTACAGTGCATGGTAACTTATTTTCATTTTTTTCTCACCTTTAAATTGAATTCTACAGCAAAATGCTGGAATCATGTGGCCATTGTAAGATGTCTTCAATAAATTTGTTTTCAGCACCAGCATCATTCATTCAAAGGTTGAACTATCATTTCGTATTGGAAAGAGGAAAAATTAAGTAAACGGTTGATTTTTAGGAAATAAATGTAAACTCTTTTATTTGCACTAAACCAAATTAATTCCTACATTTTTGAGATTACAAAAGCAACAAAGGTTACTAATTCATACAGTTCTGCTGTAAAGTTCAATTTTCATAAACTACATTTGTGTTACAAAAGACATAATTAGGTAATATCAGTCTGAAAAATGTCAATCTTTGGTTTGTAAAATAGCCTTAAAGAAAGCTTATCAGTATCACTGCAACAGCTATTTGACACCATAACCAGAGCCCTCACTGCAGTCAAAGGATCTTCAAAAGCCTGGTTTTTTGTAGCAGACATTAACTACCGTTGGGTGGTGCTGCAAGTTCAAGCTTCTCATTAAATTACATTATTTAAAGGGAATGTAACTGGCTAACATTTAATAACAAAATACTCTTTTTTTCTGGGTATTTGTATGCCTTTAATACTTATTTAAGTTTTAATATTGAAACCTTGCAATAATTTTTGAAATACACATGACATTTACCTTTAAGGCCGCACAGAATTGTTCTGATTTTATTTCAAAATCTATGAAAGTTTCCCATTGAGAAATTGTACATGCCTCATAAGAGGGCAAAAATACTAACAGTATCACTTAAAATGCCTTTTACTTTGTGCAATATCATATAAATCGAGATTGTGTCTTGTCTTCAGAGTTTATATAATGGATTATTGTTAAGTTAATGGACAGACTGGTAAAATTATATTTATTGAAGTAATTTAGACACCTGTCTACCAGCAGCAAATAAATACTACTAACATGCAGTCTACAATATCCCCTAGGATATTAAACAAAAATACTTAACCATTTTCCTGATACTGTGAGATGTGCTCACACATTCTTGTATGCATAGTCCTACATAAATTATTTCAAATTTACAGTCAAGGACATGACGCATGGAAGGTTTGTACATACTTGTCATTATGTAGTATTTATTTTAAAAAAATTAATGTTTTTTTTTTATTTTCACACGTCTGCAACTCTACTTATGGTTTAGTCATGTAAATAGCACTATTCCAGTGATCACTGCTGTCTTGTACATAGTACGTTTTAAAAAGTTAAAAGGAATTACAGTTGGGGGAAAAAAAAAAATAAAGGGCAGATTAGGCCTGTAATGAACACCAACCAATGTAAATGAAACTCATTCTGGTGATGGTATTTAACACTTTAAATAAAACATTTTCTTTACAGAACGTGTGTGCAGCCGTTTGTTGCTTTTCTCAGAGATGGTCAGCAGCATCCTGGACTGGAATTTGTGGGAAAAGGCACAGGAAGCTGATGAACAAGCAAGCTTGTCTTCTCAGAACAGTGCTGCAAAGGAAGTACCTGTTGAAAATAACACATTCACTGCCAGAGGTGTGCACACAGGTGGGGGAGCCAGGGACCCCCAGCCAGGTGTCAGGCTTTGTGCTCCCGCCACACTCCTGGTCTCCCATGCGGAAACAGGCACACGGCTCCAGGGCTGGAGCTGGCTCTAAGCTGCCAGCGCCAGGTGTGAGATCGTGCGAGGACTCTGACAGAACCAGCTGATAGAACCAGCGCACTACGCGTGCTGGGACCCTGATGTGCTGCGGCCAGATGGTGTGGAGCGGCCATGCCGCCCAGGTGGACTTCCCGCATTTGAGACAGGGCGGCCATGCCCAAGGGTGCTGTTGGGGATGGCTGTGGACTGAACCCCTGTCCTGCCCCCGGTCTGTTGGGAGGGCACTGCCTGACCTTCCCAGGGCGATGCCAGTGGTGTTCCCTGCCCAGGTACACATGGTTCCTGCCATCACTTAATTCACTAGGAAAGTTGTAGCCTGAGATTTTCAGCTATCGAATTAAAATGTTAAAGAGGTTGGACTGTAAAAATAGTAAGTTTGTAAGCTTCCACCTTATCCTGAGATACCATCTAATATTAGCTGCTTTTTTTTTTTCTGATAAGCAGGGCACAAACAAGGGCAGAGTACCCAGTCAACAGTGGTGGCTGCTGAGGCCCATGCAGCCTCTGCGGCAGTGAGCGGACAGTGGTCCAGCCCCTCTATGGGGGATGGAGATGGTGGGTGTAGAGGTTTTTTCTCTCTGCCTGACTCCTTAGGAGCAGCATCAGCACAGGGAGTGATGACTGGGCAAAATTCAAGTATGGCTATGGTCGGGTACCTATGCCTTAGAAATTAACTGAAAACCAAGAGGCTGCTGGCAGTTTGCTCAGGAAAAAAAAAAAAAAAACAAAAAAAAATTATGTCAACCTAGTCATGGGTCTTTTCTGCTTCCATATCTTTACTGCACATCTTTAAGGTTTAAATAGTGAGATGCTCTTGCCATGATGAGCGTGAGCATGGGGCCAGCATGTGCTAACCAGCACATTGTTGCATTCTCGTAGCCTCCTGCTATTACCAAATAGCTCTTCACAACTGTATAACTCATTAAAATATAAGTGGGTTTATATATAAGGTTAAATATCAATGCTTTAACATGACATAAAATTTAAAAAAGCATTAGATTTCACATCTTCCTCACAAAGTTAGGTAATGCTGTAGGGGGAGTCTAGACCAGTCCATATTTCTTTAGTTTACCTCTGAGTAATTACCTCTGAGTAATTGTCACTTCACTGTCACTCAGGCAGCAAAGAGCAGACACCAGACCTATAGGTTTCACAGCAATCTTCCAATTGTGGTTATTCTCTCTGTCTCTCCTTTGGTAAATATTTAAATTAAGCATTTACCAGAAGCAAGTAGCGATGTGAGAAAGAGGATACACATTTTCCCAGGCAAGAACAGCCCACATTTTAAGACAGATTAATGGGAGCTAGCTTTAGCTGGGGAAAAAAAAAAAAGCGTGCTATATGCTACTAAGACCAAAGATAAATCAGCTGATGGAATTATTGGCTTAATACCTGTCTTTTCAGGTGTCTTGTTTAGGATGGGATGGATCACTCCGGGGAGATCAGATTGACCACAGAGGCAGAAAGCAATGTCTGGCTTGCGTTGAATGTCTGACTTCACAGCAGTTGAGGTTAGGTGAAGCGGACCCAGACTCAGCAGCCAAGAATAAGAACAAAGACTCCATGGTCCTTCATTAGCAAGTCCTATCTGAACTGTCTAATTATCAGCTCTGAGGGCAGCAGGCAGCCGATGACTGATGAGGGAGGAAATGGCTGGGAATTAATTTCCCAGATCTGACACACTGCCTTGTCAGGTCAGTCCTCAGCCCAGCCCCAGGGAAACAGAGAAGCAGCCATACTAATTAAACCATAGGGCATTAATGCCCCAAAATATATTTGACATGAGGTCACACAGAAAGAAAAGAGCATCTGACATCTGCAGAAAGTGCATGACACAGGACTGAGGACAAGTTTGTCATAAATGCCTGTCCTCTGTGACCATTCTTGCAACCAAGAGGAGTTTATTAACGGACGTGAGGCTTAGGATGCCTCAAGAAGGTGGGAGTGGGTTTGACATTGGCAAACTATTTCAAGGACAAGACTTAGGAGCAGCAGCTGAGGTTACTTGTCTTGTTCAGCTTGGAGAAGAGAAGGCTGATGGGTGATTTCATCGCAGTCTAAGGGGGCAGTTGAGAGGGAGGTGCTGATCTCCTCTCTCTGGTGACACAGGAAATGGAATGAAGCTGCATCTGGGGAAGCTCAGATTGGAAACTGGAATCATAGAATCATTGAGTTTGGAAAAGACCATTAAGATCATCAAGTCCAGCTGTTACCCTGACACTGCCAAGTCCACCACTACACCATGTCCCTAAATGTCACACCTTCATGGCTTTTAAATACCTCCAGGGATGGTGAATCAACCACTTCCCTGGGCAGCCTGTTCCAATGTCTAATAACCCTTCTGAGGATGAATTTTTTTCTAATATCCAATCTAAACCTCCCCTGGCTCAACTTGAGTCTGTTTAGTCTTGTCCTATCACTTGTTATTTGGGAGAAGAGACCAACAACCACCTCGCTACAACCTCCTTTCAGGTAGTTGTAGAGAGCGATAAGATCTCCCCTGAGCCTCCTTTCTTCCAGGCTAAACGACCCCAGTTCCTTCAGCTGCTCCTCAGAGGACTTGTGCTCCAGACCCTTCACCAGTGTGTCCCTTCTCCGGACACACTCCAGCACTTCAACGTCTTTCTTACAGTGAGGGGCCCAAAACTTAACACAGGATTTGAGGTGCAGCCTCAGCAGTGCCCAGAACAGGGGGAAAATCACTTCCCTAGT